GTTCGCTCACCTCCCGATCTACTGAGCCGACCTGTGACAGTCTCATTGTCACAGGTCGGCTAGAACTATGAGGTGAGTGAAAAGCACCTCCCCCCTCATAGTTCTCCTTTAACTACGAACAACAATGTATCTTATTTGTGTATCACTCGGCTGTAGATCCTCCAATCATCTCTGAATTGGTGCAGACACTGTCCTTCCTTCTACTTCTGTTCCCCATGGTCCCTGTGTGTGTTGTGAAGTAGTCACCGCTCCAAGATCACTCCCGGGATGGACTACAATCTCAATATAAATAAGTAAACTAAACCTGAGGTTGTAGTCCATCCCGGGAGTGAGTTTGGAGGGGCAGCAAGTCCAGTGAAAGGGCTCATTCAGATGGGCATACACGTCCATACGGTGTGCACGCCCATAAAGACCCGATCCAGGAAGGGGACAGGTACTACGTGCAATTGCGCGCAGCAGCCAGTTCTTCCCTATGGGAGGACGCGGCTGCACACAATTACACGCTATCATATGCACACCCGAACCTGCACATGCGTGCAGGTCGGCGTGTCTACATTTTGGAACTGGTAGTCAACACCGGTGGGGAGGAAGAAAGCGGGACCGTGGGTTAAGGTCATTATTAACCCAACCTCTTGAAACAAAAACCATATACTGTTCATCAGATTGTGGGGAGGGGGTGGGGGACAATTTTAATTATTGTATCACTCCTCGGAGTTAGACTTCAATTCCTCTGAATTCTAAGTCTGCGTCTTGTATTCGGTGGTGGAATACACTAACCGCGCTTGTGTCATCCATCCCTTTCTCTAGGTGAGTCGGATATTGTATAGTTTTGCCACAGCTTTTCGACGCTCTATTAAGCAGACGCCTCTGTCCGCCTCCATCCCGCCCCAAACCCCCGACAGTGACATCTTCACGTTCTCTGTGTCACTGGAAATCAAGGAGGATGATGGGAAGGGGTATTTCAGGTTTGTCCTTTTTATAAGCTTTTGTTATGTCCATATATTTTGGTTTTATATGGCTGAGCCATAAGCTTAAATGCCAGCACACTAAGGGGCTGATTTACCAGGCAGAGGTACAACTTTACCGTGGCCATACCGCTGTTATAAGAATAGGAACACACGCACATTGGCACATACACATACATACAATACACATTCATGAAGCACAGTGGTGCTGTGCTTTTATAATGCAGGGCTTAAAGTGTTAATAAATCCTGTCCTACGTAGGGATGCACCGATACCGAATACCGATACCGGAAGTCCCATTAAGGAAGCCGGGTGAAGTGTAGCAGCTTGCCACCAGGCTTTCCAATTAGCCGGGAAGTTGTCTCCATGCTCCCTTGTCACCAGGTGATGAGGAAGCATGGAGCCAGCTTTCTGGCCAATGAGGAAGCCTGGGGGAGGGTAATGACTCACTGCTTGGCTTCCTGATTGGCCAGTTTCTCGAATAGTCAGGAAGCCGGGCGGCGAGTCATTACACAGCACCCGGCTTCCTGATTGGCCGGGATGCCGGCTCAATGTGCTGAGGGAGCATGGAGACGGTTTCTCTGGTAATCAGAAAGCCGGGTGGCCAGTCATTACACGGCTCCATGCTCCCTCGTCGCCAAGTAAGCCGGCTTTCTGCCCAATCTGGAAGCTGGGGGGTGTGTAATGACTCGCCGCCCCTAGTCATTACACGGCACCTGGCTTCCTGATTGGCTGGGAAGCCAGCCCCATGCTTCCTCGTCACCAGGTGATGAGGGAGCATTGAGCTGGCTTTCTGGCTAATCAGGAAGCCGGGGGGCAGATAATGACTCACCGCCCCCGGCTTCCTGATTGGCAAGGAAGCCAGCTCCATGCTCCCTCATCACCTGGTGACGAAGGAGCTTGGAAGAGGCTTCCCGACCTATCAGGAAGCCGGGCAGCGTGTAATGACTTGCCGCCCGGCTTCCTTATACCGGAAATTCTGGTATCTGGATAGGGATTGGGAGCATTTGGGCGAGTACTAGTACTCAAATACTCGCTATCGGCATCGGTGCATCCCTAGTCCTACACTTTAAGTATTGCATCATCGGCTCTAAAATGAATTGCATTTATTGCATGCCTAACATTTTTTTTTTATTGCTATATTCTTAGATAGTAAATCCGTGGTTGTTACTCTCATCTCCCTCTACTTCCTTATTAGTGGCAACGCTATAGCAGCCGATCCTCCATAGTCAGTGTTGTCACTCTCACTGCACCTGCTCCAGTTTTCCCCTGGGAGGAAGCCGTGCACTTCCTGTTTTCTCCCCATGAAGCCACCCCTTGTGATGCTCCTCATTGGCATGCTTGAGCATTATATGAAAGACGACGTCCCTGGCATCCCTTTAGACGCATGCTCCTTCTTGCTGGCCACTTGGTGTTGCAGACATTAGCTGTGCAATCTGTTCCAAACAAGGCTGATGGAGTGTATTCAAGCAACTAATCATCAGATAGCACAGCTAAAGTCTGAGCACTCGGTGGCCCACAAGGCGGTACGTGCATGTTTAAAGGGATGCAGGGGATGCGTTCTTTCACCTCATATTTTTCAATCCTGGAGTTCTTCTTTAGGCCCCATTCACACACGAATCGGCCTGCACGTACAGCTCCGTGCTGCGTGCGGGGCCGTACCAAGTAGCTGCCGGGAAGGACAGGTGCTGCGTGTGATTAGTACGCAGCCCCCGTCCTTCTCTGTGGGGCTACGCGGCCGTACGCCCCCCTACGCTCACCTCATTTGCAGGTCCGTAGGGGTGCGGGTTTTCTGGCCGGGACGCATACAGGATCCATTCCGGCGGCGTATGAATACGCTCACCCGCACCCCTACGGACCTGCAATTGAGGTGAGCGTAGGGGCGGGGGGGGGGGGGGGGGGTGCGGCGGCGGGGC